TTTCTTCTCATCAAGAAAATCAAACGAAAAAACTTAGATAATTTGAGCCGAGGAAATTCTATAAAAAATATCTCGATAGAATAAGTTATATAGAAAAATTGCTTTCTATTGACTTTTTCTACTGAATATTTTCTATTGAACATTTCAATAGAATCGGCCAAAAACTAATAGAAAAGTTCAATAGAAATTCAATAGAATTTTCTAACGAATTCGATAGGTTTTTCTATTAAATTTTTTCGTCCATGTGAGTTCTGAAGACTGACGATCATTTGTCTAATCGAAAATCCTTTATACGAAATGAAAATTATTTCCTCAATGATCCATTGACAATTTCATATCATCAACTACTTAATTCATCGTCGATTAAAAATTCGAGTTATCAATTATCTTATTATGTTTCAAATTTCAATGAAGACCAGTAAACCTGAATTATCGTAATGTGCCTTCTCTTAATATTAATAACTTAATGATTGATGCCGATTGGGAAAACTCAGGGAATTTCCAACTTTTCCCTGAAATTTATATTCGAATAACTCTCTAGCCTCAGAGGCTCGCAAGCAAATTAATCCCGTCGTTCAATTGCTCAAAGACGCCTTCGGAAATTGGCGAGAAGGCTCTATTGATCCTGAAACAATAGTCTGTCAAAAAGGTTCACCGACATTCTCCTCTCGGTCCACTCATCCTCAATACTTCAACAATCAGCGCGATGAGACCTTCTGACGTCCAACCAATCGAAGCAAAGCGGAAGTTAATTACAGATCAATGATTATCTCTGAACAGGAAACTTGAGCATTTACCCACGACTTGACTAATTACTTCGTTATGTCCTATAAAGATAATCCGAGTCAGTCAGCCACTTGCGCAGTAGACCTATCTGGCTAATTAAATCCCCTTTCATGAGGGGCTGCGCCGCGATGATGAAGGAATGAGGGAGGAAATATCACGGAGAGCCTTTTACACGGAACTTTCAGCGAGGACGAAGGGGGAATGTAGATTAAAAGAACTTTCTTTGAGTGGAATAAGGAATCTGGTGAGGAAATTATGAAAATTATGATTAAGGAGTTGATTCCACTGATTAAAATGAATTATTGCGAGTTATTACATTTGTTACAGCTAGTGATTACCAAATATTTATAATCATTGAAATCAGAGTATCATGAACCATGAATAAACGAATCATAATTGTCCAAATCATTTAGGTCAGAGGAAAATAGAATAATTCTACTTTCTTAATATTGCGTTTAGGAAGGTTTTCTTCGAACAGTTGATTAGAATTAATAGCTAGAATTATGAGATTAGCTCACATTTTTTACGTTAAGAATAGGAGAATCTGAATGCAATACAGTGAAAATGATGATCGATTTTTTCACTTTGAACAAATAATATTAATATCCAAATACAAAATATCTGATATGAATAAAAAGAAGCTGTGACTCAATATTCCAAATGAAGTTTTAATTTTTAATTTGGCGCTGAAAACACGAGATGACAATATTCTAAGCGCGGAATTATATTGATGAGATGAACAACAGATGAATTGAATTACCGGGTGAACTAAGTAAAAATTGACAGCAGTGTGGCCATGCACTTTCGCTCGAGTATCAATAAACATTGAATTCCAGAAATTCAAATTTTAAAGTAGTGCCGCGAGAGACTTTATGAGACATACGAGACCTCACGAGACAATACGAGACATCACGAGACAATACTTTGTGATTGTCTCGGTCTCAGTGAACGCGGAAATTTTTGCTCTCGCCTCAGTCTCGAAATCCGCAGTATCGATTTCTGTCGCAAAGACTGAGTCGATTTATCTCACCTCGGTTTCCAGTTTTTCGCGTTTTTCATTGTGTAGAAAATCGAGACGAGACAAAGCGAGACAAAAACATAGATTTTACATTAAAAATACGGAAAACTTGAGACCGAGATGAGACAGATTGACTCGGAGTCATCACGAGAGAGGCAGATACTGTCTATTTCGAGACTGAGACAAGACTAAAGAATTCCGTGGCCATTGAGACCGAGACCATCTCTCCAAAGTATTGTCTCGTAGACTCTCCCGCGGCATCACTTCTCTAACGTGTGTTCTGGGAGGAATTGAATTGTAATTATGATTAAAATCTTATTCACTGAGCATGGGAATTAAAACATGAGCAAATATTATTTTATTTCGGTAGTGAAGTGGTCAAACGATTTAAGTCGGCTTAGCTCTTAGCTGAGTATTCGAGGAATATTTCCAAATCTAAGGGAGATAGCGAAATTTTCGTAAATATATTTTTTGTAGCTCTCAATGTGCTCTACAGAAAAGGTGATAACAAAAATTTTACATCTGCCTTAGATTCCAAGATATTCATTGAAAAATAACGAAAGGTAAAAATTGACTTAAAACGTTTTACCACTTCGCTACTGATTTATTGTGATATAAAAATTTAACAGTTGATAAATTGGGACATATGATTCTCACCGGTTGTATTGCATTTTGCAACAAGAACGATCATAAACAATTAATTGAAAAAGGGCGTAATGAATGGCCATCAACACTGGGTGGCGCTAGTATTTTGCAAAAATACTAAATAATCAGGATTGGAGGCAAAATATCCTAATGACTGGGTTTAACGTACCACACACGCGTCCAGATAATCTCACCCGATACCTTCCAGGGATGTTACTCGCCACGGCTATCGTGTTATTGATACAAAAGTGTTTATACTAGATTCGTTGAAGGGCAGAGGCGATGACTCGGTCTGTCTGTTTTCCAAGTGAAATCGGCTGTGTGCATTTGCGGTTGCTCAACAGCAAATCACTCGCACGGAAATGTGGGTGTGCTACACTCGATATTCACCTTCACACTTTTATTTATTTGCATAATGTGACGCATCGAAATTCAACCGTGGCCCTGCACTTCGGATTTGCTATTAAACTGGGATTATTCTCATTAGAGCATGATGTAATTTCTAATCTCACCGTGGGATCCAGTGCGCCGTAATGTCGATCATCGAATAAAATGCATCATTTCAGGCCTATTTTATTCATTCTTGGAATGATATTAATGTTGGGGTTACGTCGAGGATTTAATTCTGGTCGGAGGGGATTATTTGCAACTGCACCCAGGAAAATGACGCATTTGAATAAAGTAACAGTTTTTGTTTCACATTTTTCCGTTCATTTCAACAACTTTTTTGTTGGAAGTTAATTGAATCATCGATTCATTTTAATGAAAATGGTTCTCATCAATTTAAAATTCTACATAATGTCGCTGTTTTGATGAAAAAAAAATTGATTCATATTTTAATACTATTTATTTGATGTGGATAACATTTATTTTATGAAAAAAACTATATTTGAAATTTTACCATGAAACAACAATCAACAATAGTTTTGTTAGAAATTATTAAACTCATGGATTTTTCCCACATAAAATGAATAAGCAATTTCTCTAGATGCGTGTAAAAACTCGTAATTCGGTGCTACATTCCAATTTCCGAATAATCATTTTTTTCCATGAATTTTTCCCTCAACCTTGTCTCAATATAATAGTCAAAACTGAAGGATGAAAGAACTAACAGGATGAATGCAAAAAATTTGAGCCGTACGCAATTTGCACGTCTGAATCGCACTTACTGGGATTTCTGTAATTTTCGATAGAATTAAAAATTTTTAATATCTGTCCAAAAATGAATTTCATCATATTGAAAAATTGTTATGAATTCCATGAATTCTTCAATCAAAAAAATTATCTCATTCATTTCAACAATATTTTTATTAGAAATTCATAAACTCATTTATGTTTTCACTGGAATTGTCTTTTACATAGAATAAAAATATAAAAAATCATTTGATTTGGATAAAAATGTTAAGAAATATTATGTTCAATTTTGAATGAAATCTTCATCACGAGCTATTTTCATAAACCGATCTACTCAATTCGAATAAACAATTCCTCCAGATGCGTGTGAAATCTCATAATTCGATGCTACATTCCAATTTCCGAATAATCATTTTTTTCCATGAATTTTTCCCTCAACCTTGTCTCAATATAATAGTCAAAACTGAAGGATGAAAGAACTAACAGGATGAATGCAAAAAATTTGAGCCGTACGCAATTTGCACGTCTGAATCGCACTTACTGGGATTTCTGTAATTTTCGATAGAATTAAAAATTTTTAATATCTGTCCAAAAATGAATTTCATCATATTGAAAAATTGTTATGAATTCCATGAATTCTTCAATCAAAAAAATTATCTCATTCATTTCAATAATATTTTTATTAGAAATTCATAAACTCATTTATGTTTTCACTGGAATTGTCTTTTACATAGAATAAAAATATAAAAAATCATTTGATTTGGATAAAAATGTTAAGAAATATTATGTTCAATTTTGAATGAAATCTTCATCACGAGCTATTTTCATAAACCGATCTACTCAATTCGAATAAACAATTCCTCCAGATGCGTGTGAAATCTCATAATTCGATGCTACATTCCAATTTCCGAATAATCATTTTTTTCCATGAATTTTTCCCTCAACCTTGTCTCAATATAATAGTCAAAACTGAAGGATGAAAGAACTAACAGGATAAATACATAAAAATTGAGCCGTACGCAATTTGTACTTCTGAATCGCACGGTCTTGAGCTACTTCGATTCACGTACACGTTTCAGTACAATGCATTTTCAGGACGAAAGATCGTAAGAAAATAACAATTCATTTTTCTCTCCCTGCAATATACTTTTTGGGAAAGAATTTCTGAAGTATGAAGCTCATGATCCATCGTCGGATGCAGTGGAAAAATGCTACATTTCGAAGATGTTGTCTGAGGTACATCTGTCTCGTAAATACGACGATACGTTGGGTGTGTCATACGTGGAAAGCCAGAGTGACTTCTCGACAAATGGCCTTGTCACACCGGCGAGCCTCAAAGAAATATGCTGGTGCCAAAGGTTGCGGGGGTGGGGACGTTTAAATATATATATGGGATACTCAGTTGTTTTACCTAGACAGTGCATCGCTTCGGCGCTTGACAGGTTACAGTGATTTTTTTAGTTCGCGTGCACAGGATCATGAAGAGTACACTCGTAAGCATTGCATTTTACCTGGGATATTAGTTTGTTGAGAGAAAATGTTTTCATTTTTCACGGGAAAGTTCGCGGAGGTTCTGAGGGGTTCATCATTTACGGGGAGGTTCACTCGAGGAAAAAAATTGTTTCGTTTTTCGAGAAAAAAAATTTGAAATACCATTTTCCGGGTGATTTTTCTTTAAGGGTTTGTAGGTGAGAGATTCTTTTTTTTTGTATTTGAAAAATATCTTTAAAAAAATCCTCAACGTATTTTTTAAAAATTGTTTTTCGAATGTGATCACCATTTTTCGCTCCTTAATTATGATAAATGGGGGAGAGAATAGTAGTTATTTTCAATGGATCGATTATATTCTCGAAAATTTTTATGAGTATCAAATAGAATGAGTGAATTTCCACGAGAGGAATGGAAAATTAATGGCAACCGTACAGAATAAATGCGCTTATTCGAATTTTAGGGGGGAAGTGCACTGGTGAAATCTGAATTACTGAGAGGAGCCCTCTCAACTAACTGTAGAGTAACAAAAGACTAGATAGATGTGTAAGGAGTGTTAGGACCACTAAACAGAGTGAGCATTGATAAAGGAAGTCTGTACATAATAGTTGGGCAAGAAAACGACCTAGTGATTTATGCTGAGATTTTTACGGAATCAAATTGGACTCAATTTCATACAAAAATCGAAAATTATAATTTATTATTCAATAAAATGTGGGAAAAACTGACGTTTAGAATAAAATGTGGGAAAAGAAAGAATGACTTTACTATAAATTTTCAATGGATTGGAATTTTTTTAATTTACAACCAAAAATAAATTACACTGAAATAACAAAATGTTCATCAATTTAAAAAATTCCTCAATGATGATATCCAACTGTTTTGGTAAATTTTGTAGATAAAAATTCTGTTCACCATTCATTGCGAAATATCCGAGGTTTTCTTTAAGCCTCATTTGATTTTATGTTAAAAGACAATTTTCGAACATTCGGATATTGAAACCATAAAAATCTAAACACGATTTTCCATGTTTACTCGATTTTACAAAAATCTGAAAAAATTAAAAAGTTCACTGCTCAAGTTTTGATCATTTATAAAATTATTCCAAAATAAGACTCCAATAAAAAGTAAAAATCTGACTTTTTTTCATGCGTTATTTCATTTTATTGAATTCGTTAATGTGCGCCAATGGAATGAATATGTTTTCCATAAAAATAACTAAACATCCGTGTGATTCCGTCATTAAAATCAATTACAATCAGATAACGAAACCCTATTCCATTAACCGCTACTCGAAAAACCTCAATAAAAAGTATCTCCTCATTCAGAAGTACCCAATATACACTTGAAATCATCAAAGAGCATAAAGACAGGAAGGAGCCCTTCAGTCTCTAATGAAACTGTTCCGCCCCCATGTTGAAACTATCTCCAGCGATCCTCAAACAGTGACAATTGCTCGAGGGTTGTTTGCACAGTACACAACCGACATTGCTCGCAACACAAGTGTAATTACGTTACAGATAACATTCCTTATTGGAGCTGTGGCGATATGCCGAGGTGCTGCACAAGTACCCAAAGCACCCGTAAAAAGCTACGAAATAACCGTCGAGGACGAAACGAAGTATCCTGATAAATCGAAAGATTTGGAGCCCTCCGCCAGCGACAGGAGTGAGTATCTTTCATTTCATCAAATGAGTTTTATTCTTCCTCCGCAGCTAAACAATCTTGAGACTGGTGTAGCAAATCCGGGATTTCACGGGAAAGTAATGTAAACAGAGCAGTGGAAATTCCGTAGCGATATGCAGTCTGCGAGAAAATTCCATTTCACGGTTTTTCATCTCAAGTACTTCGTACACCCGAGGCGTATTTACCATACGATTACGTGGAATAGTCATCTCTCCGCGGTAGAAGCAGTCCGACTCCGCCCAAGACCGTGTGAACTTGTGTGACATACTTGGAGGAGTTGAATAGATTGTGGAGAACATGTTGAATAACAATTACCAATCTGTTTTAATTGTCAAGTATGTTATTCTGTTATGAGTTATTGACGTACTACATGGGTATTTTACGAGTTGTGAGGGGACTTGATAAGTCTTTGACGTGTAGAAAAATATTTAAGATAAAGGTCGACAAATATTTAAGATAAAACCGGGTCAAGTCGATTTTGACTTTTGGTCAGTTTTTCCTGAATATCTCGGCATCTAAGTGAGACAGCTAAATTTTTCTCATGACCTTTTTTATAACTCTCAATTGGCTCTGCAAAAAAGTAGCAACAAAAAATTTTTCTATCTCTTTTATGTTCCGAGATATTCGTCAAAAACTAGCCAATAGTCAAAAACGACTTAACCAGGTTTACCGTCTCACTACTGAATTATTATCGCTTGACTCTTCCCGAAAATTCAACAAATATTTTTTCCACATTTCATGCATTGTTGTTCATTGGAAAAATACACAGAGCGGCTCTGCAATTTCCAATACAAAGCGCTAAAAAAAAAACAAATTGCGAACCGAATTTCCACACTGCGTTATTGAGACAAAATGGAATAACAATGTTTTTGTTTTCTCATGATCATTAAGCACGGACAGATCGTTGAAAAACGACATTTAACCCGAATCATGTGAATCGTTAAGCTATTTTCATGTACAAACCAGACACCGAAATATCGACAAACTGTCAAAACAAACTGAAAGTGAAACTAGATTCCCGTTATGCCACTCTTCTCGGATACTTTGCCCCACATTGGTGTTTAGTTGATGACTAATAAACATCAATGGTTCCTGACGTCATTTCCGTTTCCCTCAGAAAATGCAATGTATAAGCATAAGTGCGGCTGTATGTTAGTCAATGTCATTCTCGTCTCGCGACGCTGACTGCTTTGCGATGCGTAATATTCATATTGTTGGGAAAATTTTTTTATTGCGACTGCGATGATCAGCGTCAATTAATTTTTTTTCGCTGCCTAGTTATAGTCCCGGCTGATTGGGCTCGCAATGAAGTTCATCAAGACTCATTCTTTGATGCTAAATTTCATCGCAAAAGCGGATTACAATAATGAGTACCGACCTCACGTGTCTAGAAGTTACATTGTTGAATACAATGCGTCATTTAGCAGCCCTTCCATTTCGCTCTAACTTTGGCTAAGAGCTTATGTCCTGGGTAGTCTGCGGTTCACTCGGGTTGTATTTTTCAAATATATATTTTTCAATAAAAACGAGAAAAAAGAAAATTATTTTTAACAATTTGTTCTTTGTCCTGTGTAATGAGAAAAACATCGATTTTTTAAATAATCGATGTTTTTTCCTGAAAAATCGATTCACAACATCGATGTTCTTGAAAAACATCAATTCTTCGATAATCGATGGTTTTTAAAACATCGCCCATCCCTAAATATTTATAGTGTACCTCAATAGTATCTCTTGTTTCAGCTTTCCTCATTGGCAAGGGTTACGGCGGAATTAATGGATATGGAAATTATCCAAGAGGCTTTTACGACTATTACCGGGGTCATGCTCCAAATTCTGTCTACCGAGGATATTCGTCCGGTATAAATGGAATCCTCGGGAGCGGCAATGCTGGGTAAATTACATAACTGTCTCAACTTTTCTCATTCATTCACCAAATGAATCATGAATCATTTTGGTTTTATTTTTCACACAGATGTGGCTACGGGTATGGTGGCCTTGATTGTGAATACCCCGCTGGACAGTACGGCGGTTACGGTGGTTATGGAGGATATGGAGGATACGGAGGTGGCTATAGAGGATATGGAGGCGGTTATGGAGGATACGGAAGCGGTTATGGAGGATACGGAAGCGGTTATGGAGGCTACGGAGGCGGTTATGGAGGCTACGGCGGCGGTTATGGAGGCTACGGAGGCGGTTATGGAGGCTACGGCGGCGGTTATGGAGGATACGGAGGTTACGGAAGTGGATCGGGATATGGATATGATGATGCACTCCAAGGGGATAGTACATACAACAGTTTAAACAATTTCGGAGGTTCTTCCGGATACCCTGGTTATGGAAATCCTTCATACGCCAATCACGGTGGTGGCATCCGTGTAATTGGGAAAAGCATTTAATTGTGACAATCAAATATACTACGGGCCAATAAGTATATAGTGTGGTTGCCCACCACCTCAACTCTATCATTAAATAAACTGTTATGTTTCTATGAATTTGTTATGAGTTAACAGTTATTACCTATCAATTACTGCGAAGAAAGCAAAATATTGTCAGCTTGCGTAAATTTGCTATCTCATATCGAGGAATATTTTTCGCACAATTCTTACATTCTTTTGCTAATTACGTCGGTGGGTATGAACTGGATAATTATTTCATTTTAATCTCCACTGACGTTTGATCATCTATAATTTTATGCCAAAATTCATGACGTTATCTGAACTAACACAGTATTTTCCGATAACGTAGATTATTTTAGACATGTAAAAATGGGAGAGTAGCAGTTGCTTTGTTTTCGTAGCAGAGTGAGAAGTAAGTTAATAGCGACCTGTGGAGTTCATCCCAGTTGTCTGATTGCCCTCGGAGCCAGTACGACGAGGAGAAACTGGATGAAATGTCAGAGGATAATAAGTCGATGAACACATAAAATTAATGATAGACCTATATCATTCATATTTTTTTATTCGATGTACCTATCGGACTCATTCAATGACGTAACTCTAAACTGATTTTTTCCAATACTTTTTACAAATACATTGTTATTAGAACCATCTTCTGCAGTATTCTTTAATGTGAAAGAAGAGAATTATGAACATCTGTTATCATACATAGCACGTTCTAATATTAAAGTTAATATATACAATTGTATAATTTATTTGTAGCACACAGCGAATCTCGAGGATTAGCAGTATTATCTTAATAATCTCATAGTAATGAATTATGGTAACTAATATCTAGATACATCTACGCGAAGTGTGAGTGGAAACAGTATGATTATACAAATCTACTATTCGAAATCGAATCGATCGTCAGTCGGTATTAGCCCTAAATCTAAGATTACACGAGTTCCCCCTCTCGAATCACTGGAATGAGCATGGAATGTCACGAAGTTGTGTGATAGTGGAGAGGAGAGTTTCCATTTGTGGTATGGAAACTTCAGATAATGGTCCAACGACTAAAGTAACCACAGTGATTTCTGTCGACTAGCCAGCAGCCGAAGTTTAATCCAGTTAACTTACGATTGTGCTTGCTCCACATACTGTAGACAAGCTGCTGCTCCTTTTTACTTCACTCTTAATGCAATCGGCGTGAAGTAGGAAGAGCCAGGGGTATCGCATAGTCAATGATGCACATCAATCACTGCTTTTCCTCCTCTTGACTTTTCGTCTGTGCGACCGTGATCGGGGAGTTTTCCCAGTTAAACCTGGAACATTCAAGTAACCTATATTTGCTTCACTGAGGACACGCCTGATGGCCTTAATATTACTGAGTTGACCGAGGTCGAAGTGCTTTCCACCGACGATTGGATTGTCCTGTCGACCATCGCAAACGTTGCAGGGGTATGGTACAGGTGTTGCTGTTGGGAAAATTGATCGTGTCATGCTTTCACTCTCAGCATCATCACCTGGACAGTAGGGTACGAAAATCACCGGGATGAAACCGAGTTGACCGTACACAGGAGCTTCGCTGATTTTCGGTTCTATGATTGTGCTCGGGGTCGTGGTGATTGGTGATGTGCTCGATGTGTTCTTCGATTCTACGATGTAACAGGGACACATCTCTGGGTTTGGTCCGACTGGTAGCGGAATTGGTTTGATTTTGATGGGTCCGGGGGGGTGGACGCCTATCGCAGAGAATTCAGCGGGATTTTTGGGAGATGTGTTTACCTGGTCAAGTCCTGGGGCGGGATCACTGGGTCTCTGGGGGAGGGTTTGAAACTCGTTCGCTTGTTCTTGCTCTTCAGGAATCGCTTGACGCGGCGGCTCTGATTGCAAGTTTCTGTAGTTCTCGTCGTATTGGGATATTTGGTAATCTAGATCCTCGAAATTTGGTGGGTCGTATGGATTTAGTGGGCTTTCCTTCTCACTTTTTCGGTCGAACGGGAGTTGGATTGCTTGATTTATAATTATATTCTTTTCGTCTTCGGTGTAGTCTTCTGCATTCATCATGTTGGCCATTATTGCGCGTTGGAATGAGTTGTATTCAGTCTGGCGATATCCTGGATAGTTATTTGGACCAACTCCTGGTGAATTTTCAGTTAAGCCGAAAGGTGTTGGCTGACGATTGGGTGGGACTACTACACGCTCTGAATATGGGTAATTCGTGCGTTCGTAGTTGTCTTGTTGATTGTAAATATTGGGGTTTTCTGGTTCTGGTTGAAATTCATAAGAAGCGGGTATGTATTGGCCGCCTGGATACACTGTTTTTAGGGTCCCTTGGAAAGGGAAGCGGGGATCACCGGGCCACGGTCCACTTGGGCCGGGTGAACCTGTTGGCCATGGACCGTCTGGTCCTGCGGGGCCTACACCTCCATCGCCACCGATTCCGCCGTCACCTCCGAATCCGCCAACAGGTCCTCCTGGACCGTCAGGCCCTCCCGGACCTCCAGGTCCTCCTGGACCTCCAGGTCCTCCTGGACCTCCAGGTCCTGCAGGTCCTCCAGGCGCAGGCGGAAAACCGGGGTAGTTGGGATTGTCAGGATCAGGGTATCCAGGATATGAAGGTGGAGTTGCGGTACCTGGCTGTTGAGGGTAGCCAGCTCCGGGGTAACTAGGACCGGAAGAGCCTGGATAACCTGATGGGTAGTTTGGTGCGCCAGGGCTGCCCGGCGTTGATCCGGATTGACAGGGAGTCGAATGACAAATTGGTTTCGTAGGTGCACCGGGAGGAGGTGATCCGGGACGCGAAGTATGAGACCCACCTCCTGGTTTTGGACGATTTGGGCGGTTTGGGGGACTGGGATGAGGTTGACTGGGTTTCGGAGGGAGGTATGCTGGTCCGACAGGTGCACTCGGTCGACTTGGTTTCCCGGGTTTGCTTGATATTCCAGAGCCGGGTCGACTCGGGTGTCCTGGGTGAGATGGAGGTGAAGGTTGTGCTGGGGGACTTGGCCCTGGTTGATAACTCGGCTTCGATGGAGCATTTGGGTGAGAAGGTATGCTCGCTCCCGGTTGACTTGGATAGCCAGGTTTTGCTGGTGTGCCAGGTTTGGATGGAATGTTTGATCCCGGTTGATTTGGATAGCCGGGTTGGGCTGGCGTCCCAGGCCGAGAGGGAATGTTGTTATCCGAGTGACTTGGGTATCCTGGTTGTGATGGCGCAGATGTTCCTGGTTGACTGGGATATCCGGGGTGTGATGCAGATCCGGGTCGAGATGGGATGTTATTTTCTGATTGACTTGGATATCCAGGGTGTGCGGGGGTACCTGGTCTGGATGGAATACCAGCCCCTGATTGACTTGGATATCCAGGGTGCGAGGGTCCAGTAGTTCCTGGTTGACTGGGATAGCCAGGGTTTGCGGACGTACCTGGTTTGGATGGGATGCTCGTTCCAGGTTGACTGGGATATCCCGGCTGGGATGGCCCGGTAGTTCCTGGTTGACTGGGATGTCCCGGCTGGGATGGCCCGGTAGTTCCTGGTTGACTGGGATATCCCGGCTGGGATGGCCCTGTAGTTCCTGGTTGACTCGGATATCCCGGCTTGGATGGCCCGGTAGTTCCTGGTTGACTGGGATATCCCGGCTGTGATGGCCCGGTAGTTCCTGGTTGGCTGGGATATCCCGGCTGGGATGGCCCGGCAGTTCCTGGTTGACTGGGATATCCCGACTGGGATGGCCCGGTAGTTCCTGGTTGACTCGGATATCCCGGCTTGGATGGCCCGGTAGTTCCTGGTTGACTGGGATATCCCGGCTGTGATGGCCCGGTAGTTCCTGGTTGACTGGGATATCCCGGCTGGGATGGCCCGGTAGTTCCTGGTTGACTGGGATATCCCGGCTGGGATGGCCCGGTAGTTCCTGGTTGACTGGGATATCCCGGCTGGGATGGCCCGGTAGTTCCTGGTTGACTGGGATATCCCGGCTGGGATGGCCCGGTAGTTCCTGGTTGACTGGGATATCCCGGCTGGGATGGCCCGGTAGTTCCTGGTTGACTGGGATATCCCGGCTGGGATGGCCCGGTAGTTCCTGGTTGACTGGGATATCCCGGCTGGGATGGCCCGGTAGTTCCTGGTTGACTGGGATATCCCGGCTGGGATGGCCCGGTAGTTCCTGGTTGACTGGGATATCCCGGCTGGGATGGCCCGGTAGTTCCTGGTTGACTGGGATATCCCGGCTGGGATGGCCCGGTAGTTCCTGGTTGACTGGGATATCCCGGCTGGGATGGCCCGGTAGTTCCTGGTTGACTGGGATATCCCGGCTGGGATGGCCCGGTAGTTCCTGGTTGACTCGGATATCCCGGCTTGGATGGCCCGGTAGTTCCTGGTTGACTGGGATATCCCGGCTGTGATGGCCCGGTAGTTCCTGGTTGACTGGGATATCCCGGCTGGGCTAGCCCGGTAGTTCCTGGTTGACCGGGATATTCCGGTTGTGATTGCCCGGTAGTTCCTGGTTGACTGGTATATTCCGGCTGGAATGGCCCGGTAGTTCCTGGTTGACTGGGATATCCTGGGTGTGATGGCCCAGTAGTTCCTGGTCGACTAGGATGCCCCGTTTGTGAAGGTTCAGTAGTTCCCGGTTGACTGGGATATCCCGGTTGTGAAGGTCCAGTAGTTCCTGGTTGACTGGGATATCCTGGTTTGGATGGCCCAGTAGTTTCAGGTTGACTGGCATGGCCAGGCTGGGTTGATGTTCCCGGCCGGGATGGAATGTTACTTGCAGGGTGACTCGGATACCCGGGGTGTGATGGGCTACCAGGGTGTGAGGGTATGGACGCTCCTGGTTGACTTGGATGACCAGGTTGTGATGGAATGCTCGGCTGTGACGGTGCGGATGTTCCCGGTTGGTTGGGATATCCAGGTTGTGATGGGGGCAAAGGTCGTGATGGAGGACTCGATCCTGGGTGATAACTTGGTTTCGAGGGAGTGCTTGGACGAATTGGTATACTTGGTCCTGGTTGACTTGGATAACCCGGTTGTGACGGAGTTCCACTGTGTATAGGAGTACTCGTTCCAGGTTGACTTGGAGAACTAGGTCGCGATGGAATGTTTGCCCCTGGGTGACTGGGATGTCCTGGATGCGATGGAGGATGTGCTCCTGTTTGGCCTGGATATGCAGGCTGATCCGGAGAAGATCCCGGACTCGCGGGTCTCGAAGGTCCATTCGAACCTGGGCGAGTTGGATAGCTAGGTTGTGGTGCAGGAGCGGGCCTTGGTGGGACATTCGCATCTGGTTGATTTGGATACCCTGGTTGAGATGGAATTGCAGGCGACGATGGACCACTGGGTCGTGATGGCACATTTGCCCCTGGTTGGCTAGGATAAGCTGGTTGCAATGGAGTCCCAGGCCGTGAAGGAATATTAGTTCCTGGTTGATTCGGGTAGCTAGGTTGTGATGAAGTACTAGGCCCGTGGGACCCGCTAGGCTTCGATGGACCGTTCACTCCTGGTTGATTTGGATAATTAGGGTTTGTTGGGAAGCCAGGCTGCGATGGAGAACCTCCTGATGCCGGTGGGTTTCCCGCTCCTGGTGTCAAAGAAGTCCCAGGTCTCGAGGGGACATTAGCTCCAGGTTGCGATTGTGAAGTAGGGGAGCTGGGTTTATATGTCGGGCTTGGTCGGGCAGGAATTTGGCCCTGAGGTGGACCGGGATAACTTGGCTGAGATGGTGCTCCAGGTCGGGTAGGAATTTGTCCTTGAGGTGTACTAGGATAGCTTGGTTGAAATGGTGCTCCAGGTCGAGATGGGGTGCCAGCACCGGGCTGATTTGGATAACTCGGTTGTGAGGGTCCATTCACCGGGGGATTGGGTTGGAGTGCCGGGCTGGAAGGAATACCCGGTGTCGATGGAGTTCCAGCTCCAGGCTGAGATGGGTAACTTGGTCGAGAGGGTGTCTGTGGTCTCTGCGGTGTACTTATTCCAGGATGATTTGGGTAGATTGGTTGTGATGGGATTCCCGGCTTCTGCGGAGTGCTGATTCCAGGCTGATTGGGATAATTCGGTTGAGACGGTGTCCCTGGTCTCTGTGGAGTGCTTATCTCAGGCTGGTTTGGGTAACTGGGTTGAAGTGGTGTTCCTGGCCTTTGCGGAGTGTTTATACCAGGCTGGGCCGGGAAACTGGGTTGAGATGTACCCGGATTCTGCGGAGTACTTATCCCTGGCTGTCCAGGGAAACCTGGTTGCGATGATGTACCCGGCCGCTGTGAAGTTGGCCGCGACGGAACTCCCGGTCTCTGAGCTGTGTCTGTTCCGGGTTGATTAGGATAACTTGGTTGAGAAGGAAAACTGGGTTGAGATGGTGTGCCCGGACTCTGTGGAGTACTTACTCCGGGCTGACCAGGAGAACTTGGTTGGGACGGCGAACCTGGCCTCTGCGGATTGCTTATTCCAGGTTGGCTAGGAAAACTGGGTTGGGACGGTGAACCAGGCCTCTGTGGATTGTTTATTCCAGGTTGGCTAGGAAAACTTGGTTGGGACGATGAACCTGGCCTCTGTGGACTGCTTATTCCAGGTTGGCTAGGAAAACCTGGTCGAGACGGCGAACCTGGCCGCTGCGGACTGCCAGGTTGATAGCTAGGCCGTGGTGGTACTTCCGGTCTCTGAAGTCCGTCTGCTCCGGGTTGATTAGGATAACTTGGCGGGGCCGGTTCTCCTGGTATCTGAGATATGCCTGTACCGGGTTGATTCGGATGAGTTGGTTGAGACGGTGTTCCTGGTCTCTGAGGTATGCCCGTTCCCGGTCGATTAGGATGAGTCGGCTGGGGCTGTGATCCTGGTCTCTGAGGTGAGCCTGTACCGGGAGGACTAGGTTGATTTGGTTGAAAAGGTATTTCCGGCCTCGATGGTGTTCCTGTGTCAGGCTGACTCGGCTGGGAGGGTCTTTGAGGTGTACCCGTTCCAGGTTGATTCGGATAACTCGGTTGAGAAGGAATTCCGGGTTGCGATGGAGGACTTACAGGTTGACTTGGACCTCCATTAGAGCTCCCCGATGTTGGAACTGAAAAAGAATCAATCATAAAATTTATAATCATCTCTCTCTGCAATCATTTCAACATCAATATCTAATCAATCTTACATTCGGGTCGTGACGGGTTGGATCCGCCAGGACGCATGGCACCTCCTTCATGTCGACTACAAGTCTCCGGAAAATGTAAATCCCTCCAGGGAGTTATAACCCCGTGATGCTCATGGTGATCATGATGGTCATTATGTTCATGATGTTCGTGTTTATGCAAGAAAATTTCTATATCTTCTCTGGGTCGAACGACGCGATAACCCCAGCCATCACTAATATAGAAGACTGCTATCATCTTCCCAAATGGGTCTACATATCCATAACACCCATAGGTCACACCATCAGGACCAAGTGTTTCGTGATGAAACTGCTGGCCATCTGGAGTGACGTCATATCCATAGTTATATGAATCTAGAAAGAAAACATCTGAAAATTAGCACAATTCAATGAGTCGACAGTAAACAATAGAATAAACAACACTAACTCGTCTCGAAGTCTTGGTTCAGGTACTGGCTCTTCTGATCATCCCTGATACTGAGCAGCAATTCCTTTCCTTCTCTACTGTCTTGTCCCTCAGCGACTTGCAGAATTCCCTCTGCAATCACCTATTGACAAAGAAGAATAAATTAGCATGTATCCGCCCTACGATTGAGCATTCACATTCAAAACGCGCTTGGGTCATTGTTCTACGTGAGCCTCCTCAAGTGCAATCAGCAACGATCTCACATGGTATGCACTTATAAGCAGTAGAACCCTTTTTTTTCTCCTTTTGCAAGGGGCGTCCGCGTCGAATTGAATACCATGGAATATATGAGGTCTAACCAATGAGATACATTGACCACACATTTGCCATTTGATCGTATCCATACGTCTCATAAATTCTCTTAATCCTCAGGTAGTCATTATGCTGTACGCAATATGAACGAAAAAGGTGCGAAATGTCATCGTGACATAGATCAACAGCCCATATAACCTTCTCATCCTCACCGAGACCGCAGGGGTGCCGTATCAAATTATTACGAAATTCAATGTATCCCAAGGATCTGTTTAATGAGACAATTTTGGGTCAGAATGGTAATGAATAAACTTCACGTAAATATCCAAGACAGCGTGAAGCACAAGCGTCCGGCGGAAGGCCCCTTATTTCACTACATCTCTCCAAGGCTACAGACAATTAGGATTGATTACTTCATCGAGATCCAGATTTGCGAAATTTGAGGAGTTTACAGCCCATGTGCCAAATGGCAGTGTACGCTAACAACTTGAAAATGCCTGACGGCAATATTTTTACTTTCCTTCAACCATCATTATCGCCTTTCTCATTCCCTGACGATTCTTCCCCTTGGCCATGGTTTATCGATTTGAAAGGGATTTGTGCCAAACGCACACCGCACTCATACGCATTTAAACTTACGTATCGTTCACCGGCGTTTGTATTAATACGATTAATGTCCAGTGTGCACGGGAGAGGTGGTTTATGTAGGGTATGCTCATGTGCTCGATATGTAGCGTACATAAGCCAAGTTGGTAAATGCTGCGTAAACGAGGCACAGAGAAGAAGTACTTGACCCAGCGAGTAATCGATGTTGGAGTAATTAATTAACTGCCTTGACTAAAATTAATATCAACTTGTTTTACAAACTCGGAATTATTCCAGCAAAATTGGGAAATGAGCGTTACCATGGAATACTTTCCAACAATTAATATCTGATGCGAATACTTGCATTGATTGTTACTTATTGCCCACCTTTTTGAATCAATTAGACCAGTTGGAGTCGGCCATTCTCATAATTTCGTTTTACAGCTTGAACCCTTAATTTCCTGCAATTATGGAAGAGAATTGGGTTAAATGCCCCGAATAGTTGAGATATCTTTTCGTATTTATTTGGTCATTTCGTTTGTTAAACTTTTTAATGAGCATTTGGTAATTATGAAATTTTGTAATACAATTCCCATTCACATTTAGAGGAACAATTTCGACGAACGCCACTCGGACTCTCATTTCGTTAGATAATCCTCATTCCGTTGAATAAATGTAAATTTGAATTTCTATCACAATTCTCTAGGGAAATTAGCATACCTCAATTTAGAAGATACTTCTGATATGGAAGTGAGTGAAAGTGATTGCAACATGAATTTTCGGTAGGCGAGGTACCACAGGTCAGTTCTCTCCCACCGATTGACACTTACTCTCATCTATAAGGTCCATTCATTTTTATTACCCCATAAAAAAGTCATTAACGCGTCATCTCTGACAAATTGGATTCGACAACCGGATTATGCTGTACTTTATAATTAGGAATGAGGAAGAATGTGGAAAGGAGAAACTCGGTTCATTTGATCTACTAAAAATTATCGCGAAAAAATGCTAATGTCCAACAAACAGAAGTTCAAACATTTAACCTTTCTACCTATTACGCGTACCCCGAGAACACTAAATTATTGAAAAAAGTTTGGTATTGCCCACTCGCGGAATTTTCGATTTCTCGTAAAAAGCGAAAGATTGAGGACTTCCGGGTACATTTCTATCGGATAACAATCTTTATTTAGAAATCGTCATTTCTGTTTCATCAATAATAACGAATTGAATAATCGATCGGAGTGCGTCATGCTGTTGAACCGCTGGAATATTTTCTGTGGCAAGAATTTCGGTATCCTTGGCATTTGCTAAATAATTTTGTTAGTGTTGTTTGAGGGAGTTTAAGGCCTCTCGATCAACTATCCATGCTCATCCTTTGATTCTGTGACAAGCCAGTGATCTCACCAATCACCCACGCAGAAGGGAAAGTAACTTTTACAAACTCTTGAAATAAATTCGTAACACCACACATGCCTTTTCAATAAACTTCTACGTGGGATGTGTGCGCTTCTTCATCATTGAGTGGTCGTGAAAAAGAATTTCTCTCCATTCAATTGGATGGATAAATCAATTGTTTATACAGGGTGTCCCAAATTTTTCACAGGAGATTCAGATAACAATTACGGAACGCTCCGGAAAAATTCCGTGACAGTTCCGTAAAGCTTCCTACAACCACATTTCACTCCGAAATTATGGAAAAGAAACGTATTTTTTGTTGAATATTTCTCTCCGTGTGAGTGATTGTTAAATATTTCAAGATTTTTTTACTTGAAATTTCAGAAGTAATTTTCTAACAGTGTATGATTTTGCGAATATCAAAGATTCAGTTTCCTATTACGATTTCGACAGCGATTCACGCAGCATCAAGGCATTGTTTAATATTTAAAAAATCTCAGTCTCATCAAATTTGCCCTAAAAAATGCAAACTTGTCCCAAACATTTTTTGATCACAGTACCACTTACCAAGATATTTGCCTGTGACTCTCAATTCGGGACACCCTGTACACAGTTCAATTATTTTAGTATTGTGGAGTGTCGCCCACACGGGACGACAGTTACGCGGGGTAAACGCGAGCTATTATCAACACTAATTTTATTGTACAATCGGTAGTTCATTTGAGGAAAGGTTAATTCATTCCAGCAACAATGGTAGACCCCGTGTAATGAATCAATGCTTTTCATTCAGTGAATCGCAGAGTTATTGCGATTTGTGTCACGTATTCATAGTCTAGTGCGGCGGGGATCCGGGAGTACTCCGACCGGGAATGACTGATGAGTTCACAGCTTTAATTTGACGGAAATTCCGACAAACGTGAGGAGCTTCGGACCATTCACTGGGCCGTGGAGTTTAATCTGAACGGAGAGGTGATTCTTCGGGTTATTTTTAGATCATTCGGCTGTTTATGTTACTAAGAATGTACTTCTCGTCTAGACTTTTGGAATTCATAAACGGTTATATGGTAATCTCCGAGATTTTATGGAAGACAAGCTGAATATTGTTTCCCCGAATTTATGGAATACTCCGGAGTTTTATTTGGAGTTCAGGTCGTATTTGCCTCGGGAGTAAATACTGTCATAAAGTAGGGGAATATTAAATTGTCAGTGTAACTCTTGGAGAAACCTATTAACTTCAGAAATATAAGATCTGTTGAGATATAAAAAAATGCCCAGCAACGTCCAGCACTTTCCTCAGTCTCATATAAAATTCCTCGACCTGTTGCATCAAATATTTATGGTAAATCCTTCAGTCACAAGACAAGTGCATTCTGCTCATGAATTTTCTAGACGAATCCTCGGGGGAGTTCGCCTGATCCTATTCATTTCTACTTGTCACTGGAATTCAGTCGGGGGAATAATGCAGGAAAAATCCATTCAGAATGTCGAGAATGATCTTAACCTTAAGCATCAGATATCTGTGCATAAACTCCTGATCAAGCCAGACATTCACCTTGCGCAGCGAGCGTGAGGGAAATGCAAAAGGCCAATCAATTTATTATGTTTGCGATTGGTGAAAAGAACGGCAGTCTCTGATGTATACATATGTATTGATTGGTTCGATATCGATCATCAATTATTCATTAAATCGTTTGAATAGCACCTGCATTTTGACGCCTTACGATCGTGTGCCGACTGAACACGTCTTCGTAATTGTTATTCTACGTGCGGAGTAAGTGCTATTAATATACCTTTAGAGGACAATCACGAGTGAAATTTTTCCTCTCCCAATGCTTTATCTCAATTTTTTTCCCCCTCTCCTGCGCAGTGATTTATCGATCTCGGTGTTCAAGTCGATTGCAAAATTGGCATGTTGGGGGGAACCTTATCTCGACATTGTGCCGACAATGGGTATGCCAGACGCATCATCTTTTCAGTGAAAGTCCAGCGTACACCGCTGTATTATTGTTGCGTAAGTTACCATTCATCGTGTATGCTTGACTCCCCGGAGGCCAATGAAGGTTCGGCGGTTCGGGTTTAACAGCACCCGGGCTCTTGTTTATCGGGTCGAGGATGTGCACTGGATGACACAGTTACTCACTGTTCGACCTGAATAAAACCAGTGGCGAAGTGGACGAATGAACATAAAAAAAAATTATTTTGCAAAGTAAAATTATCCTGTAAAATGAAATTATTTTTTTTATTTTTGTTTTGTTTTTTAATTCAAATTGATTTAATTTAATTTTTTTTAAATTTCATTTTGTTTTTCGTTCGAGAAGTTGATTGGGTTTGAGATTTTAAAGGTGTTAAGATGAGACTTGGTAAAACAAGTGGGAAACGTATCATATAAATGTTATTTACACATACTTGAATGAATTTGAAATATCACATTTGAAGAAACCATCAGAAAGCTCACATTCAGGGAAATTCATTTTCTGATTTCATTTTCGAAATTCTGATTTTCAAAAAATACAAAATTTTTGCAAATTTTCAAATCAATCAAAATAACGATTATTGCTATCGCCTTCATCTTCGAACTCGGTCAAAAGGACATCCAAACAAATTTTTGTAACCCATCACTGAATCAATTCAGAGCATTTTTTTTTAGTTATCGTGGGACAACCGATTTTCGAAAAAATTCGAAAATTGAAAAAACTAATTGATGAATTAAATTTCATCCATTCATTAGTGAACAATTGAAGAAAAACTTTGTTACATACGTACATATATGAACACACACGTACGAACGTGGTCTAAAAATTGCATTTTCGGACTTTGTGGATCATACTGGGACGATATAACACAAAAAATCCAAAATTTAAATTTGAATGATTATAAAACTTCCCCTCAGAAGCAAAAAATTGTTTGAATTTTTTTTTAAAGTTTGTATTGAAGCCTGAAAGCTCCCAAATTCACACGCATTAAACTTCTTGAAGTCTCGACAATTGACCTCAATAACATGTTCATAAACAAAATGTAATATTTTTGAAATTCAAGCTTGACAAAAATATAAAGATATCATGGATATTGAAAACTAATAGAGCAGAAGAAAATGGAAATACCATTTCTGTGGAATCCTCCGTCTAGTTATTTTTCCAATCAAGAGCAATATTTTCAATCTGAAGGAATTTTTTTCTCTGTGAAATCGGTATCGAATTTATTGGCAATCCCAACGGTTTACACCGGATGAGTTCGACTACCGCCCGAAATCGGGGTCAACGAGACAATAAAAATGCACACGCGATGTTTTTGTTGCACACCCCAAAGTGTCCATAAAAATCAGGAGGATAATACGTGAAGCACCGGTGAAGAATAATTAAGTGAAGCGAAAGAATGAGGAAAAAAAATTCCAATGCAATTCCCTTTCTAACTCGGTACTTCGCAATCATCTCGTGGTTATCTCACTAATGAAATTGTCACGTCTGGTTGACTGGCAGACGATTGAGCCTGACTTTGGATAATTGCTTGAGCGGTGCGATCTGCGAGGAATGTTAAATGGATGATTGGTGAGAATTATATAAAACAATCTGATACGAATGAGGAAATAGTGAACACT